AAGGAGCCCACGGGCACACCAGACTCCAGCAAAGCAATGGCCGGAGCTGTACATTTTCAAAAACAAACTTAGCATTTACAATCCTCAGTAAATCTGAGCTCTCATACATCTCATGCATTCCCACTTCACATAAGGTAACTCAATATTAAGCAAGTAGACATTTTCTAATACTTTTCCACGTTAAAATAAAATTACCTTTCCTTGGTTAGGTCAGACAAAATCTGTCTACAGGCTAAGGCTAGACTTTTCCTAAACATTAATTTTTAAGCATTTTTCATGTTAGGAAACCAGATAAAGAAGAAGGTGGCAAGTATTTTTCTTTTCTTTTTTTTTTTTTTTGAGTTGGAGTCTCACTCTTGTCGCCCAGGCTGGAGTGCAGTGGCACACTCACAGCCACCGCAGCCTCGACCTGCTGGGCTTAGGCAATCCTTTCGCCTCAGCCTTCCGAGCAGCTGGAACTCAGACACATGTCACCACATCCGGCTAGTTTTTGTGATTTATTGTGGAGACGATTTCTCACCAAGTGGCTCAAGCTGGTCTTGAACCAGCGGGTTCAGGCAATCCACTCGCCTCGGCCTCCCAAAGTGCTGGGATTACAGACTGAGCCACCGAGCTCGACCTGGCAGATTTTTTTTTTTAATAGAAAAGAAACAAATCATTATTTGAGGGGAAAAAATAAGAAACTGATCATTTATTTACTTAAAAATATCATTAGGAACTTAATAAGTGCAAGGCACCGTGCTAGGTATTGAAACAATGTGGACAAAAACTTCCCGGCAAATAAAAAGTACATGGAAATTTAGTTTGTCAGTAAACATAAAATTACTTGATTTACAAAGTGTAGGAATATATCTGTATAAAGGCAGAAAATATCTAAAAAATATTGCTGATGTGCTGTAACACCCTTAGTTTTAAAATATAGTAAACAGAATGTATTTTCTGTGTGTCAAAAGGCATTTTTGTTGCTTTTAATGCTCACTTCAAAATAATTTTCTTTTAAAATTATTATTAGTGTATTTCTGATTTTTTCAAATACAAATGCAATGCTCAAATGTCATTCTTTAAAATTGACCTTCAAATAGGTTGTACTGTGTCAAAAATGTAGAATGAATACATGTCAAGGATGTCATAGTGAAAGAAAAATAAACACAGCATCTTAAAAGGTCATTGACACATGAGTTAACGAAATCCAGTTAAGCACCAATTATTACAACATCAGTAATAGGTGAAGAAACTCTGTTGTAGCAATACCCAGTGACACTATTAGTTCTCTGAGAGGACCTAGCCATTAATGATGATCTATTCTGTCTTTATAATGTGTTATTGATGACAGCTTTGCGCTAAAGAGTTGATAAAGTTGTTTTAATCCTGACTAACACTGAAATAAAATACAACAATTTTTCTATAACTTTCTATGCCTTAGCCCTCTATTTCAATATTTCAAAAAAAAGACACAGATCTCCACATGATGTGGTAGATATTATTTTAGTAATAGTTGAGAAAAATACATATGAACAAAAGCAATTATGAATTCAGCAATGCTTTTAAGTAAATGTGTATTCTATTAATAAAAAATAACCATGTATGTTTAATAATAGTACATATATGTGAAAGACAGTATTTATACAGCAATCACTTGGGGCATAAGTGAATTAATCACTTCTTTGCAATAGTTTTGCAACCTCCTACTGGCTGAAGCAGACAATTTGAAAGCAAGCCTTACCAGGATTAAGAGACCAAGTTCCACAATATGTTCCAAGGTCAAATTTTACTCTTCAGTTTTACAGAGTGAAGCCCACCTCCATCCTCAGTGTCTTGATTCTAATATATTCATGCTCTGCAGCAACTAGATATTCAGCTGCCAAAGAACTTCACAGCTTATTTGTAAATAAACAAGATGAAGGAGAAAAGAACAGTGCTGCACTAATAGTCTAGTTAGTTTGGGAGAAAAGTAGTTTTTGATAAAAAGACATCCTTTATGAAGAGCTGCAAGTATAGTAGAAAAGTAAGCAAAAGAGTAGATTGAAAGTGGATTCTCCACTATAATACGAATAAGAGCTTGAAAATATTACTGGACAGTATTTCGGTAATCAGTTCATCTAAAGATGACATTCTACATAGTACAAATGAATGGAATGGCAGGTTGCTTAAGTCCCCAAAATTGTTGTCCTCATTTTTTATGTGTTAATGAAAATTCACACTTTGCAGTTGAGGGAAGGAACACAAAATTCTGTGAAGACATTGCCAACACAAGCGCTTTGAGTTCCTTCTTAAAGAAGGAGGATAAGGACCTTAACTGTGAGCATTTGAAAGGTGGTCGAGAAACCTGTTTCTTGACAGCATGGAACAACGACAGGTACTTCCTGATATCAAGACTTTAATCTTCCTTTTGCTCTTTTACTTTTAACTTTTTCCTCCTAAATATTCTCAGCTCCATTTGAAAGGTATTAATACCCAAAGATGAAGCAGCAAAAGCTTTTTTTTTTTTTTTGGCCGGGGAAGCTGTTTAATGAGCTCGAGGTGTACAAAAGACTAAACTCCCCAAACAGCTAAATCTTTATATAAACTATTTCCACAGTGGTTCATCCACAAAATATATAACATATAAGCTTATATAACTCTAAATACTTAGTTACCTTTTCTTTTCTTTGCATAAAACTTGTTACAGAATAGTCTGTAAAAATCAGCTATCTAATTGTTCACAATAGCAAGAACCTGGAACCAACCATGCTGTCCATCAAAAGAAGACTGGATTTTAAAATGTGGGACCTATACATGATAGAATACTACACAGCCATAAAAAAGAGCAAAATCATGAATTCCACAGCAACCTGGACGGAACTAGAGTCTATAATACTGAGTGATCTCTCACAGAAACAAAAATCTGAGCATCACATGTTCTCACTCATATAGTGGACCTTGAACATCTATCATAATACTATAAGAAAAGGATTGACAGTGGCAGGAAACTATGGGGGGGTAGGGAGGGGAAGGGAGGTGGGATTAACAGTAGTCAATATCTATCTGGGGGCGGGGAGACACCCCTTATCAACAAGGGTTCCTGAACGATGCATATTTGTATACCTAACCCTTAACTGTACCCCACAAGTTTAAAATAAAAAATATGTTAAAAAAAGAAAATATCTTTTAAAATGAAATAACAAATAATAAAATGAACAATGAAAAATGAAAATTTAAAAAAATCAGCTATCTAAACAAAGATTTGAGGCAGCGATTCAAGTACTTAAGAAGGCAGACCACCCTATTAAGAGCTTTTTCAGATTTTTACTATATCTTGAAACACTCGACATAAATTTTTGCTTAAAATAAATGAAAATTTATGTTGATTAAGAAGTGCACATTAAACTGGGCTCGGTGGCTCAGCCTGTAATCTTGCGTTTTGGGAGGCTGAGGTGAGTGGATTGCCTGAGCCCGCAGGTTCGAGACCCGCCTGGGCAACTTGGTGAGACTTCACCTCTACAATAAATCAAAAACTTAGCTGGGTGTGGTAGCACGTGCCTGTCGTTCCAGCTACTTGGAAGGCTGAGGCGGAAGGATC